TTGACCTTTAAAGACCAAACAATTATTTATAAATATAAATGACTATTAATCATCATCACCATTTAAAACAAAATAATTGTAACAATAATTGCTCACCAAACCATATGGATATATTATAGTTAAGATTTCAATTGTTTTTTTAGAGTTAAAAATGATTTTCAAGTGTTAACATTTACTTTTCTTATCTGGTTTGTCCTTCACTTTTGTGTTCTTTTCCCTTTGATATTTTATAAATAGTTTTCAGGAGTAGTTTTCCCTTTGATATCTGGTTTGACATCATTTTTAATGCTATATTATTATTATTTTTTTTTTGCAAAATTCACTATTTCCATGTAATTATATGGGTAATGTATCAGATTTTGTTGTATTGCACTAAACATTTTCTTCACTTGTTTCCTGTTATATATCATATGTTTTTCACACATATAAAAAGTGTTTGCTAAACTTGCTAAATCTTAACTATAATACCAACATGTAATTATAATACCAACATTTAACCATTAATATCAACATTTAATTTCACAAGACCATATGGAACTTGCTAAATCTTATCTATAATACCAACATGTAATTAATACCAACATTTAACCATTAATATCAACATTTAATTTTCACAAGACCATATTGCTTTATCAAATTTAATGTTAAGGTGCATATTGAATTGTCTCAAGTTTTACAATTTGTGGTTAATAATATATTAATATGCAAAATCAAAGCATGCAATGTATATTTATTAAATAATTATTTTATTATTATAATTATACGTTCATAAAAGCATGCATTAATGTTAGATTTAGCATATTATTAACTCATAAATTCATTATTAAAATATCATTCAATTTTGGATTCTTAGGCCAATTTAGGACGTTACGGTCTATTAAGACAGCTTGTTTTTTTTTTCTTCCTTAATTTTGAGCATATTTTAGTATTATGTGTATTTGGGACTTTAAAACCTATTTTGAACTAGCTATTTGGGACTGATCTTGGGTAATTAAAGTATGGATCCCACCATTATTGATTGATATTTCAATAATAATTATACTCATTTTGAGTTTATAACATGTTTATTAAGTTTTAATTATTACTAACTATCATATTTTGGTATTTTTCTTTGGTAATAATATTAAGTTTAATTTTGGGTCTATTTCAATACTAGACCATTTTCCATCCATGTTATAATTCACTTGGCCCATTGAGGTTTATGAGCATAATTTAAGTGATTAAGTGGGCAAATTATGCCGTGCAACCGTGTGCACAATGCATGGTGCACACGGTTGCAAAACGGCGTCGTTTTGATTAAAAACGACGCCGTCCGACTTAAAAAAAAAATCATTTTCAATTGCCGTTAACGGCGTTATGCTATGCATAATTTGAACTATATATCCAAAATTAATGAACTATATATCCACACCGGTTACTGGTATTTTGTTTTGGCTTATGGCAGTTCGCTGCGTCTGTGTATTCAGAATGAATAAACTATATATTCAGAATAAATGAACTATAAATTCAGAATTAGTGAACTATATATCCAGAATTAATGAACTATATATCTAGAATTAGTGAACTATAAATCCAGAATTAATGAACTATATATCCAGAATTAGTGAACTATATATCCACACCGGTTACTGGTACTCTGTTTTGGCTTATGGCAGTTTGCTGCGTCTGTGTATTCAAAATGAATGAACTATATATTCATAATTAGTGAACTATATATCCACAAAATGCATAATACCTGTAGAAGAATTAGACCTCAGTTGACAATGGTGAGAAAAAACATTTGATTGGTGGAGTTAAACGGTGCCACTAACGGCACCGTTACTCCACCATAGTGAAACAGCGTCGTTCGTAACCGTGTGCACCATGCATGATGCACACGGTTACACATCATAACGATTGGATTAAGTACTATAATTATTGCATTGGTCTGTTTTGAGACATTAAGGGGCCATTTATTTCACGGAATGTTAGATTATCTTACGAAATGTTAGATTTCGAAATGAGGGTAAAGAACCAGTGAATATGTTTTCACTAATGTCTAACTCAATAATACTTGTGAGGTTTGCTAGTGACGATGGGATTAAAGTCATTAAACCCAAGAGCTTGCAGCTAGAAATATCTTAAAATTTTTAGTGACTGGGATTTCCAATGGACTCCAGAAATTTTTCTTGAGAAAGTGAAATTTCTTGCAAATAGGTGTGTTTTGTAAACTCGGGAAACTGGCTACTCAGAAGGGGATTATAGGATATGTCAATGGTTTTCAATTTTGGAAGGAGAAAGACATTTTCTGGCCAGAAGACAGATTGTTATAGATAAGTTGCAAATAAGACAGAGATTTTAGTGTTGCAAATGAAGGATGGATAGGACCATTGAGACCACAACGGGACAAACTTAAAACATCAAGCTCAGGCACTGCAGTAGAGGATAAGACTTGAGACCAGTTAGAGGCTTAAGCTGAGAGGTCTACACCATCAAGATACACCTCTTTTAAAGGATTCAAATTCATAATAAAAGATTCAAGATTTGGTTTTCTTAGCTCAACATAAGCGGGAATCCAAGAAAGGTCAAGAGACACCAACCTCGTCAGCAGCAAAATTCCACAAGAATCTGACTAGAGAAACTGGTAAGCGAAAGGTTAAGGTGAGTCAAATTTCTCAATTTCTCGAACCCAGATGGAAATGGAGTGTAGTTGAAAGCGTTGCAAGCAACATTAAGAGTTTAAAGATGGTGAAGATTGAAAATGGGAAAATATGAAGCGACGACATACTGAAACCGAGGTCGGGTCCAATGACATAACCAGCTGAGTCACATGAAACGCCATCGATCCCAAGTATAACAATCCTCCTCCATATTCAATGGCTGTGGGTGAGGAATACAAATCACTATCCAGCCTCATTGGAAAGCATGATGAATACTATCATGATTCAGTGACCATCGTAAACAAAGGATATGAGATGGTATTGGTTAAGATCTTGACAATATTTGTGTCTTTGGATCTGTCAATTGAAAACTAAATAGTTAGGTTTATCTATAGGGTAGTGTATGTTCATGAATAGGTGTCAGTTATGGGTAGTTACTTGGGTAGTTATTTACAGTTATGTCTTTGTGTATATATATGTACTATGTTTCTGTATTAGAAACAGAGAGAATACAAATATAATTTCAGTCTTATATACATTTCCTAGTCCTTGATTCTTCATATTGCTTCTGCCTAACTGGCGGGTGGTATTATTCTCCAACCGCCAGGCCATTCCATCTTCCAAATTCAACATGGTATCAGAGCCTACTTTCCTAAGGCATTCCAAACATCAAAATTGTATTTTTCAGTCGCATGAACAGTAAAGGCATTCCAAACATCAAAATTGCATTTTTCAGTCGCATGAACAGTAAAGTTATTGTTCACAGAAACCCTAAATTTTCAAATTACTTGCTTTTGGTGAGTTCTTTTGTCAAATTGGTGTTACCCATCCCTTCTACCGTCTTCGGCGAGCCTGACCCAGCAAGCGGCATCACCATCTCCGACCGCATGCGTCGGCGGCTCTACTCCATTCCTTCTATGCCTGTGATGTATTTCTCCGGTGAAAATTCCAGATTGTTGTTTTGCCCTTCTTTGGACCTTTTGGTGAAGTTTGAAGGCTTTTTGGGTTTGTTGCCAACTTCTTTCCTAGGTGCTTTTGGAATAACCGTATTTGTTTCTTTCGGTATACCATATTTATTCCCTAGGGTTTTCAAGTTCGGCACCTTTTTTATTTCCGGAAACCTCTTTTGTTATTCACTTATCCTATAAGAGGTATAAACAACAATCATGTGGTTTTCTCGGTATTCATACAACAATCATGTGGGCTCTACTACCTCCCATTTGCTGCTCTGATTGGTTTGCTCTGTCGTTCGTAATGAAGATTGTTGTTGGAAAATCCTAGAGTACTTATGTTGCTGTGAAGGTGTTCGTGTCAGTTTGTGACAAGCTTCGTCCTTGGTGCCTACATTCCCAAGGGTTGTTTATAGCATTGTTCCTCCGAAGCCATCCAGCACTGTTATTCTCTAGTTGCTTTTAATCTTCATTTGTAATGTAGAGCGTATGTTTTAATCCAAGCTTGGAACTTCTAGATGTTCCAGCTTGAGGGGGAGTGTTGAAAACTAAATAGTTAGGTTTATCTATAGGGTTGTGTATGTTGATGAATAAGTGTCAGTTATGGGTAGTTACTTGGGTAGTTATTTACAGTTATGTCTTTGTGTATATATATGTACTGTGTTTCTGTATTAGAAACAGAGAGAATACTAATATAATTTCAGTTTTATATACATTTCCTAGTCCTTGATTCTTCATATTGCTTCCGCCTAACTGGCGGGTGGTATTAATCTCCAGCCGCCAGGCCATTCCATCTTCCAAATTCAACATTCCATGGCAATGTTCCAGAAGTGATTGGTGAACTAAAATCATTGGTTGTGCTCAACCTGTCAGAAAATGTCTTCAATGGGCAAATTCCAATATTATGGGGAGAGTTATTTCAACTTGAATCTTCAGATTTCTCAAAGAATAAATTCTCATAGACGATTCCTCCACAACTCACCAGTCTAACATTCTTGGAAGTACTGGACATGTCTTACAACCAACTAGCCGGTCGCATTCCTTTGGGTAACCAATTCAATACTTTCACAAATACTTCCTACATTGGATATACAGGATTGTGTGAAATCCCACTCTCAAGGAAATGCAATGAAGATGGCGCACCAGTAGCGCAGAGCACAGGATGATGAGAGCTTTGAAAGTGAAAAAGCCATGTTTGATTGGAGGTTTGCAGTTGCTGGATGTGGGTTTGGATTAGTCGTTGGATTAACAATCTGTTTTGCATTCTTGGCCAAATGGATTATTAAGTGGCTCGTAAAGCAGAAAAAGAAGAAGCAGCAGCAGCGAAGAAGCTAAGGAACCAGAAGAAAGCACAGTTAACTGTCCTAAAATTTTGTTTAATTTGTATTTACATTCTAGGAGCCAAGCCAAGGTTGTCTCATGTTGTTATGTGCTTGGTAATTGGTATATCTAACGCCTTAGGTTGTTAAGTTAAATAGTATCCTTCTTATTTTCGGCATCATTCAAGACTATTCCTTAGTCGCCCAATATTTTCACCTTTCCTCACTTCGCACCCCAATCTCTAGCCATTCAAGATTGTATTGTGCTCCTTTGCCCCTCAAACTTTTCGCATTTTCTCACTTTGTACTCAATCCCCTTAGTCTTTGCACTCCAACTCTCTAATAAACTTTGCTTTGTAGCCTAGTTTTCGCCCTACAGTTTTTGCTCCATAGCCCAATTCGCACCCCAACTTCCTTAATTAGCCACTTGTTATATCATGGACATAGGTCCTCCTAAATTATGTATTTTTAATATTAAAATTGTCAACTTCTAGAATATAAATTGTATTTTTAAGTTTTAAAAATTTGTGAATACAATACAGGGTCATCACAAATTATGAATTTTTAATAGGTAAATTGTGAACATTTAATATATAAATTGTTTATCTTTGGATCTGGGTCCACAGAATAATTTGCTTTAATTTTAGCAACAATCGTTTGTTGTTTAGTTCGCGTTACAAAAGTTTTTTTCTTTTTACTGTAATGCATGTGTGTGTACATCATGTTATGTGTTTCTGTACATCATGTTATGTTATTCCGTACATTAAGCGTAAGGATTCTGTACCTGAAATTGATTAGTAGTTGTATAACACAAAAGATATTGTGTGTCTTATTTTACGAATTTATGTCTTGTATTATGAAATTATGTGCTTATATGACATAAATTATTTACATAAAATCAGATCTGAGAATAAGTAAAATAGAAAACATGTATATGTATCTCGTAGTAAAATAGAAAACATGTGTGTGTATATCATGTTATGTGTTTCTGTACATCACGTTATGCAATTCTGTAAATTAAGCATAATGATTCTGTACCTGAAATTGATTAGTAGTTGTATAACACAAAAAATATTGTGTCTTATTTTACGAATTTATGTCTTGCATTATGAAATGATGTGCCTATAGGACATAAATTATTTACATAAAACCATATCTGAGAATAAGTAAAATAGAAAACATGTATATGTATCTGGTAGTAAAATAGAAAACATGTGTATGTATATCATGTTATGTGTTTCTGTACATCATGTTATACAATTATGTAAATTAAACGTAAGGATTATGTACCTGAAATTGATTAGTAGTTGTATAACACAAAACATATTGTGTCTTATTTTACGAATTTATGTCTTGTATTATGAAATTATGTGCCTATAGAATATAAAGTATTTACATAAATCAGATTTGAGAATAAATAAAATAGAAAACATGTGCAATATTTCTTGGTTGGGGTTACTTCAAATAAAGTGCACCATGAGCATTAGGATTTGGAATAGTCACTTTGAAGATGCGTACTTGTAATATTTCTAAGTTCCCAGAGATCTTGAAAGGCCTTGGATTTACAGTCTCTCGCCCTTTCTGATAATGATGAGGATTGTATTGATTAACCGAAAACGAATAATAGTCTGTACAATACTAATATAGAAGACAAGTATAAAGAGTTCTACTAGACTACTAATACTAGAGTCCTAACACTCCCCCTCAAGCTCAAGGTGGAGCATTCGAAATATTGAGCTTGTCCCGAAGCAATGAAAACCGAGCAGATGCAAGTGGCTTGGTGAAAATATCAGCTAGCTGGTCCTTCGTGGAAATAAAATGAACCTGCAACTCCTTTTTGGCAACCTTGTCTCGAACAAAGTGATAATCGATTTCAACATGCTTAGTTCGTGCATGAAAAACCGGATTAGCACAGAGGTATGTTGCTCCCAGATTATCACACCACAGCCCCGGCGCAGCTTCCGGAGGGAAGCCAATTTCGCGCAGCAAAGAAACCAACCATGTGACCTCCGCCGCCACATCAGCCAGTGCCTTATATTCGGCCTCAGTAGAGGACCGCGCCACTGTCCGTTGCTTCCGACAAGACCAAGCAATTAAATTAGACCCCAAGAAGACGGCAAACCCACTCGTAGACTTTCGGTCATCCGGATTACCTGCCCAATCCGAATCCGAGAACGCATGCAATGCAAGAGACTCCGACTTGCGAATACATAGACCCATACCAAGAGTGCCTTTCACATACCGCAGAACACGTTTCATAACCGCCCAGTCCGCAGTGGTGGGCGACTGCATGCGTTGACAAAGCCTGTTAACTGCATAAGACAAATCTGGCCTAGTCACCGTCAGGTATTGAAGAGCACCCGCAATGCTACGGTAGTGAGTAGGATCAGCAAACGGAGTAGAATCATCAACATCAGACCGAGCCACCGAAACGGGTGTAGAAACCGGTTTACAGTCAACCATGCCTGCACGTCTAAGAATATCCTGTATATAACGCCGTTGAGACAGAAGAATACCATCAGATAGTGACATCGTCTCAATGCCAAGAAAGAAAGACGGGGGTCCCATGTCCCGAATCTTGAATGTACGCGCAAGCTGAGCCACAAGCCCATCAACACGGCTCGAGTCCGATCCCATGACCAAAATGTCATCCACATACACAAGAAAGTAAAGCTGCACACCACTGACAGAATATATAAACAACGAAACGTCAGTCTTGGACGGAACAAAGCCAACAGAGATCAGGAAGTCATGCAATCGGGTAAACCAGGCACGAGGAGCCTGCTTCAGTCCATATAATGAACGCTGTAGATGGCAAACATAATCAGGAACAGACTTGTCCTCATAACCAGGCGGCTGACGCATATACACTGTCTCCGCCAGGTTACCGTTCAGAAAGGCGTTGTGGACATCCAGCTGACGAATGGACCAACCACGGGAGTGAGCAAGTGACAGAAGAAGGCGAACCGTGGTTGGCTTGACCACCGGACTGAAAGTCTCAAAGAAATCCTTACCAGCGACCTGATTAAAACCTTTGGCCACCAGACGAGCCTTATGTCGCTCAATAGACCCATCAGCATTCCGTTTCACCCGAAACACCCACTTGCAACCCACAACATTCATACCTGGAGTGTACGGGACCAGAGTCCAAGTCTGGTTGTGTAGGAGAGCATTAAACTCAGCATCCATGGCCTCACGCCATTCCGGATGCGCAACAGCCTGAGAATAACATGTCGGCTCGGGTGTTGTAGCGGCAGAAACGAGAGCCACATGCTCCTGCGGGCCCCGACTCCTCGTTGCCATAACATGAGAGGGCGGACCTGCCACCTTGTTCTTACTACCACGAGGTCGACCCCGAGAAGCTTTAGGGACAGCCGAAACGGTCCGTTCAGTGGAGACAGAGTCAGCCGGACCCGCGGGCATATCCGGAACCGGTGTATCATCGACAGGCTCCATAACTGAAGAGGAGATAGGCACGATGGGGGCAACACCCCACGGCACCACTGGAGGCCGAGACACCACCTGCGAAGCAACAGATCTAGCAAAAGGAAAAACGGACTCATCGAATCGCACATGGCGACAGATAAAGACCTTATTAGTGACAGGATTCATACAACGATAGCCACGAAAAGAGTCAGGATACCCTAAAAACACACAAGGAGAAGAACGATATTCCAATTTATTACGGTTATAGGGACGCAATAAAGGAAAACACAAACACCCAAAGACACGCAAAAAGGAATAGGACGGAGGAGACCGGTGCAAACGAGAGTGAGGAGACTCATTATTTAAGACACTGGTAGGCATTTTATTAATCAAGTATACAGCAGTCTCAAACGCATAGTCCCAGAAACGAGATGGGACAGACGCTTGAGCCATCAGGGCCAAGCCAGTCTCAACTATATGCCGATTACGGCGTTCTACCCGCCCATTCTGTTCATGTGTGTATGCACAGGACTGCCTGTGACGAATGCCAAGAGACTCAAAGGTAGAGTGAAGTTTCTTATACTCTCCCCCTAAATCAGACTGAATAGAAAGTATTTTCTGTGAGAACGAGCGCTCAACGAGTGACCGAAACCGTTCAAATATGGAATATATATCAGTTTTTAAGCGCATCGGATAAAACCAAATAAAACGGGTAAAGTCATCCACAAACAAAACAAAGTAACGAAAACCATTCACAGAGTGCACAGGCGCAGGGCCCCAAATATCAGTATAAACCAATTCTAGTACACGGGTAGTTTTAGTTTCAACACGGGGCAAAGGAAAACGGGATGACTTCCCTAACTGACACGAAGAACACAAACGAGATAGATCACTAGAATTAAAACTACTAACACCAGAAGACTGCAAAATCTGACGAAGAACCCGAGTATGAGGGTGACCAAGCCGCTTGTGCCACGTAGAAGACGAAGCACGCGCAGCAACATAAGCAACAGAACGAGCAGAAGACGCGGGCCAGGAGTATAAGCCACCAGAAGTTCCCCCCTTAAAAACCACCTCCCTGGTCAAGAGATCCTTCACAAGAAAACAGTCAGGATGAAACTCAAAAAAGACACGATTATCTTTAGCAAAGCGTTGAACAGAAATTAAAGAAGAAGACAAACCAGGGACATGCAAAACATCATCTAATCGAAACACTCTAGATGACGAGGCTATCGAAGTAGACCCAACACTAAAGATAGGCATACCTTCACCATTGCCGACACGAAGAGTGTCCGAACCGTCATAGCCTGCCGAGGACATCAACTGAGAGGAATCGGGAGTGGCATGATTAGTGGCCCCCGTATCAGGAAACCATTGGTGAGAGTCAACCGAACCACCCTCACCACCAGAAAAAGCCACATTAGCCTGAGGACCAGACGACTCAGAATAACGGCGCCAACAATTCGCCGCCGAGTGCCCAATCTTGTCACAAATCTGACAACGCACATCCGAGCGACCACGGCCACGGCCCCGGCCACCGCGACCACGGCCGCCACTGCCCGAACCGCCGGTGCCCGAACCACTGCCGCCGGAACCCCCACTGCCCGAGCCACCTCGGGAGAACCGGCCTCCGCCACGACCGCCCCGGCCACCACGGTGAACGGTCAAGGCAGCCGGCGCACCAACCGGACCATCACCTGCGCA